CAAACATTTATTACACGAAACGAGAGTTTGTTATTACTTAAACAAGAGAGATTGTACGGACTGCATCCTAACATTAAGTTCTTCTTTGTGCATTTGTTATTCATTAACCATAAGATCCATAACAATTTGCGATATGAAAAGATGTGCCTTCAACATGTTTTCTCTAGTAGAATTGGTTTCCTTGCGATTTGTTTGCTAAACTGCATAGTGATCCTAATTGACGATGTTTTATGTTTTCTACCTTCACTTAAATGTGAGAACTGTTTTGGTTATTGCATGTGCCTTGCTATGGTCATATTATTCTTGATGATAATTACATTTTGGGCTGTCTTCTGTTTTCCTTTTTAGTCTATGGTGCAAAAGATTAATAATGTTTGCTTAGACTATAACTAGCCTGTATATTGGAGCGGATTTTAATGTGTTGACTATTAATTGTTAAGTGTTCTCCTCTGTCATATAGTTTTCTCAAAAAATGATTTAATTGGTAACTATTTAAGGAACCATTATGTGCATGTTGTACTGTAAATATGGGTCTGTCGTGTTCAACAATTGTACTGTACTCTATGTTTAGGTTGTTAAAGTAACACATTTCTATTAGCAAGTAACATATTAATTAGTACTACCGGAAGATAAATGTGTTCTGAATTGCGTTGAACTAATTAAGCTCATCAACATGTGACGCCCTGAAAAATTTGAGATTATATTTGATGAAGGTAATATGGGACGTGAAACCAGAAGATTAAGCATGAAAAAAACGGATCAAGGGTTAAAATGTGTAATTTGTTCCTCAGGTTATTTGTCACCACCGAAAAGCAAAATAGATTGGGAACCTTCTTATTTCTTCCATTTATGCTAGGGCCATGATGAATATGCAATTATAAAAAGTTGATTTCATCCAATCTTTTGTTGCTGAGTCTAAATGGAACTTTATGTGGCTGTCTTTTATCCCCTCACGTAGATTGTCTTTAAACCAGAAATATTTTTTTCAAATGTTATACAGGAAGCTATTTTGGCTGAATCGAAGCAATAAATATGCTTTCTATCCTCTGTTTTTAAATTTCTTAATTATTTGAATTGTCTCCCTTGTGACTAATTGAGAGATGATGCATACTTTTTTTATTCAAAATACTCAAAGTTTTCATGTTACAAAACTCATATCCTGTCCACATGTAATCTGTATAACTTAAAAGCTAAACAAAATCCAATCTCACTCTCCTTGTCATTTACGTTTCTTCTTTCAGAAAAAAAAAACTAAATGGAAAATAAAATGTATTCAATAAATACAATTAACAAACATTGCAAATTTTCAGAGATTAAAAAGCTACGACGACCATATGGGCGGCCGATTAAACCGAAATCCTCACCTCACCCTTTGTCCGTCTTCTCTCTGGATTCCTCATGTTTTTTTTTTCCTCCCCCTCTTGGATATCTGGATTTCTCTAAGGCATGTGATGTAGAAGAGGCTGGAAGTTGAACGAAGCCCTTGCTGGTTTCCAGCTAGAAATTAAGCCCCCAATTAGCCTTCCTAATTGGAGTCATAATGCACCGCTTAAATATTATAACCATATCACCTTATGAAAAATTGGGGGTTTCGTGAAATTCACTCAACACCAGAAGATTAGCTATTGCATGTAAAAGTGCACGAATGAATAATCATTAGGAAAAAAAAAAAGGTTGAGGACCCAAAACAGTTTAAGCTTAATAACAGTATTTAATGTAATTTTCAAACTTATGAATTTGGAAATTCTCAAAGCCCAACTGATTCCTGTACCAGTACGACATGTTTGGTGGAATGTCATATTGACTTATAAAACAAGATATATACTTCAAGTGAGAAAGGTATTGATCAATCAAAAGCACATGTGCTTTAAAAACAAACCCTACTGTACATAATGTAGAACAATTTGGGTAAATTTCACAAAACCCCCTCATCTGTGAGGTGTCTCTCACAAAACCCCCTTAAACTTTCTTTATTCCCCTAATTCCTTCTGAATTTTCTTTTGCCTCACATGACCCCCTCAACTTTGAACTTTCCCGATCGATTCTCTACTTATATATCACTAACGCCTCGTTTGGTATGCGGGAATTTAGTCAAGTGAGAATAGAAAGAAGGTATGAATGGAAAGAAATAGATGTGAGAATGGAATGCGCATTCTTATTCTCATGTTTGGGCGCGTTAAGAGAATGAAACGGGAATGACAATCATATCCTCATGCCCATGTTTGGTATCATTTGTTCACAACTGAGAATAAAATTTAGTTTTCTAATAATGCCCATACGAAAACACCGAATTTTAAAAACATAAAAATATTTTAAAGATGACTAAATAATTCATTTTTTGGAAAAAAAAAGTTTTATGGAAATAATATTTTTTATAGAAATGATTTTTCAGTTGATAGTTATATTTTGGTACGCCGCCTCAGCAACAATTTAGGATGTTTGGCTTAATAATTAAAAAATAATTTTCATAGAAACTATTTTTGATTATAAATAATTATAATTCCACATTTCTAACTTTTAATGCCACATGACTATTACTTGCACGAGTAGTTAATGTTATTAGCATCATTGTGCGCAAACGTATACAATAGATTGAATTCCATATGCATGCTATATGACTTATGACTGAATCCATGTGCATGCATGAAGAGAGAGAGATCGAAAGAAAACACTAAAATTTGAAGGATTGGAAAAACATATTAATTTTTAGTCTGTATATAAAATTTTTATGAAATTTCAAATGCACCTTTAACTTTCAAAAATTTGATTAGGAATAGAAAACATGTTAACCTAGAAAGTTTGAAGGAATAGAAAACATGTTAACCTCTAATCAAAATATAAAGTTCCAATCTCATCAATTAAGCACATCATTTCTTGTTGTGAGTACTTTAAAAAAGTTACTGAAAAGAATAGGCATATATGCTTCAATGGAACTTCAAATCATGCATCTAAAGATAAAATACTTACTAACCTAATTACCAATAGATTAAGAAACCGAGTCGCCAGAAGATAAAAAAATTATTGTAAAGGTAAGGTAAAGTTTAGCCACACATACATATTTTAAAAAGAAATAATGGTTACCTAACTAAGTCACGCCGAGGGGAAGATGAGATGTTTTTCTACTGCAAACGCGATGGAACTAGGGCAAAGTCAAATAAAGAATAGTATTTTAATATTTTATATCTATTTGTATATTTGTACGAGTAGCTAATGATATTATTTCTATAAAAATAAATTTTCATATGGGAATTTATATATATTCGTATCTTTTAAGGAGTGTACAATAAAAAATTATTTGATTATTTTATTCTTACTTAAGTGGGAATATCAATTCGTTGTTAAATGGTTAGGAATGATAATTCTCACATAAAGTAGGAATTGATAAGAAGTGGGAATAGTAATTCTAGCATCTAAAAATACATTGGGTCCGCATGAATAAAGAGTTGGAATTGCATCCCATTACTACTCATTCCCCGCGTACCAAACGAGGAGTAACAGTAAATGTATTTGAGAGATTTTTCCATATAGTGATAATATTTGTTATTTTTCATTCACTTTTTTATCTGGATAACAAGGAAACTTGTTAGGAAGTAACTAATAAAGGAAATGATGATAAACAAAATTATTTATTTCCTAAAATCATGCACATTTCACCTACTTTTGAGCTACTTTTAAGCCTTGAGACATGGAAAAAAATAGGAAATATGGATGACATATAGACCATATCAACGTTTGAGAAGTACCAGAAAGTGGATTTATCATAGAAACAAACAAGTTTTTTTTATTATGAGAAGTAGCAAACATAGCATTTACTATCCTTATCTCAACTACTTCATAATTACTCCCTTGCAAACAAACATTCATCTAGTCTTCAAGGTCTTCCAAATAGCATATATTTCATATATACCATATTTTGTGGAAAATCTAGATTAAATTATATTAACAATATTCTCATACATATTTTCACAATGATGTCAAATATTAAGTAACCTACACCATGAGAATAGAGGTGTATTCTATAACCCCTTAAAACTAGGCTAGGACCTATGCTATCTAAGTTTTGTTTTATTTTTAAGCAAAAACTAGGTCAGAATTGACTCGGAGTTTGTAGCCCAAAATTTAGTCACTAAACCAGTTTTAGTTTGATCTACTCCTCCCCTAGTCCATTTTAGGCCTGACTAGGACAGATCTAGACTATAAGATTGATCTTGACCCAGCTTTGGAATTGTTGCAAAACACACCCTATGAATTGATAGTTTCATAATAATTGAATATAATTGTGACTAATAGAGTTTGAGCCAGCAGTATTCTTAAAGAGCAATGGAGTTTAGGCCATGCCTTAATGAATGATGTTGTAAGTTTCTGGGGTTATTTGGTTCGCTGCAACTACAGTATTATAGGTAGGGTATTTATGGCTAGCTGCAGCTATTTATATCATTATTATCACTAGTAAATGTAGTAGCAACTGCAATTGCAATAATATCATCAGTTGCAGCCGAGGACTCTTACAAATTATGATGAAGTCACAATTTGTGACCTCGTGGGCAACAAAAAGGAGTTTAAATTACAGTTTCAATCGTAATAACCTCCTACAAAAACATCATACAGCCTTGAGACTCTGAAACATATAACTACAGTTATAACTGCTGATGCAAATTGCAAAATTCTAGAATAGAATCAAACAACTGCAATTACAACCGACTGCTACAAGTGACGACGTGATATTAGTTGACTCCAAATTTCTCAAACAAGGTCAAAGGTTTCAATCTCCCCCAAAACATTGAATCAGTATTTTCACCTAGTTTCATTGAACAAGAGCTCAGAAAGTATAAAGTCAGCTCAGTAAGCCTTCAAATCTTACTTCTTTTTGGAGCACTGTCTTATTATAACAAACCCATTACAAAAAAAGCAATGAATTCTTAACAATAAAACAAATTTTAGAGGTTTTATTAACATAAGTACTCCAACAATCACCCTTTAGGAGTTAACAGATACCGATATCATAACCTTGGCTGAGAGATCCTTAAATCAAGCCCAATGTCCATTCCATTGTACGCAAGGGGAGCATACATCCACAGATCATCAGAGCTCAATAGCTGAAGAAAAACAATTAACAATCAATAATAGAACTGAACGGAATAAATGTGTAGTTTTGAGGTTAACTTTTTTTATTTTTTACCTTGATTTGGAGTTGCAAGAACTTTACATACTGAACTGCTTCTTCTAGCATTGTGCTAATATCAACCTGTCAAATATAAATTTCTATGTGTTAAGAGTACTTCAGTAACAGATTTTTCGTCTTATTGATTGATGATGAAATTGAAAAGGGTAAATTTTATCCTATACACGCACACACATTGTAGAATATTTGTGGAAAGTACTTAGAAACATTATAAGAAAGAAACACTACTGGTAAAAAAAAAGTAAAGATTATATGAACGATTGAGAGTCTGAATTAAAAAAATTATAGTGAACGATTGTATGAACAATCGGGAGTCTGAAATTAAAAAGCTAAAAGAAATGGAAAATGATCAGAGGCAGAAGGAGAAAACTTCAGACCCTATGTGTCAAGAGTTGAGAAAGATATTTCTTCTTATTGATTGTTGTTTCTATCAAGAAAATTCTTATTAATTGATGTTAAAGAGGGTAAAACCTTGTATATATAAAATATAGGGCACTACCCAGAAAAAGTTCCAAGAAAGAAAAAAACTGCAAGAAAAGGAAAGCTATATTTAAAAGTGTAAAAACAAGGATACGTCTAGTTAGTCATGAGTATAGAGTGAACTCACTTTGGTTCCATTAGGTACCAGATTCTGCAATATCCTCAACCTCTCATTAATCCTTTCCCTCCTTTTCTGTATTCAAATTGCCAAACTACATTAGATTTTTTTTTCCCGACTAAAAATACAACCTCTTATTGCATTGACATATCAGGCACTGATTCATTACCCTTGCATATAAGCTCTGAGGGTCAGTTGCAGATCCTCGACTAGCTCTTGCTTTTCCATTCAGATTTAGAGCGGCATTCTTACCTTTGGACCCGGAGCCCATATTTTCTCCTCCATTCTTCTCTTGAGATGTGTTAGAATCATCCTCTGAGCAACAAGAGCTCGAGCACTTTTCATCTTTGTCACATGTAATAATCTTCTCATGATGCTTCTTCGTCTTTTGATTCTTGCCAATCTTAACCTGCACATATAGTAGGTTACATACTACTCACTAACAAAGAAAATTTTTCAGGAATTAAGCAAAATGACAATAAGCTCACCTTCTTCTTTGGGTTATCATTTTCTGCAGGCTTGTTCAACTTTCTCTTCTGTTGAGCCAAGCTCATGGTCGAATCTCCCGCATCTTCACTGCTGGTTTCACCACTGAAATAACTGCCATTCTTGTTGTCGTTATTAATTTCAGGCATCACATTGGATGCAGTCATATTGTAGTAAGATTGACAGGCAGTAGATTGATCAAATAAACTGCTACTACTGATAGTAGTACTAAAAATAGTAGCATTACACTTCTCTTGAGGCCAATAGCATGAGCTAGTATTGGCATTTTGAACCTGATCAGGCCAAAACAAGGACGAGACTCCTAAGCTCAAGTCCTGATCTGGCTCATTGAACAATTGAGCCAGTAGTTCAGACTCTTCGCTTGCCATTATCGCATTAAACGAGCTCCAATCTATCTCTGCAAAAGTGTTCATTGATATTTAGGATAGAATTACAAATGAATACAAGCTCGAACACTATTTATACTGCTACCAATCTTAGGAATGTTCTGAATTATTTAAGTCTGTTCAGTACGTGACGATTAAGTCAATTAAGTTATTGGCATTGACAGATTTAAAAAATAGGTGCCAGAGTTACCGATTGAGATGGAGATCTTGTGTTTCAAGTGGAGAATCCTGCGTTACAATAATAATTAAAGGGGGGTTAGCTCATGGTTATGCGGATATTGGAGAGAGAGTTCATTAATGTGGGCTGGCAGGAGAGAACGTGGAGAGGGAATTAAAAAAATATATAAAGGGAGAGGGCTGCATGATCGTGGAGAAGGGGTTCTGACATTCTTAAGTGATCATTGAGTTTAAGACACCGTATCCGTTGGCTTCGATCCTTGTCCGCCTCAGCAGGTAAATTGCAGATAGCTCTCTTATATATCTGTATCTTGAATAGCACTTGTCACTTTTTAACTTGTTCCTTAGTTTGTTAGTTGAGCCAGATTTACTTGAAGAACAAAACTCACTTGGAATCAAGCTTTGTGCCATTGCACCACAACTACGATGTAGGAGAAGTTTGACCCTTTCACATAAATATGCTGTTAGAAAGCACAATAACCACCTACCCGCCACAGTAAACAACAAGCATAAAACGACCAAATGGTACTGTAGCAACAGTACATACCTACCGCAGGATCGCCTATATATGGCCCTCCTAACCTTAGGTTGAGATCATCTCTGAAACAACAATTCCACATATAGAAGAGTGAGAGAAAAATAGAGAGTTTCTCCTTGTAAAGAGAGAGATTGTAACTCTAAATTTTTTTCTTTATAGTAGATTTTTCTATCATTGCCCATGGTTTTTACCCCAAATTTATTTAGGGGTTTTTTCATGTAAATACGTGTGTTCATTTTATTACTTCTATTCCACTATTTGCTGGGACCCTGCTCTATTGGGTCCCGAGTTTATCCTAACAAGTGGTATCAGAGTCTGGCTTAAGGTGCGTGTATCTGCTTATCATATGCTCTGTGGCTGTCACTAAAACTGGATCCTCCACATTAGAAAATAAGTTAGATTATCATTTTGCCCTTGAAGGCATTAAGCACTATTCACAGATACGGTACTATCCACAACTACGTTACTATTCACAAACGTGGTTATTGTTCATGTGAAATAGTAGAAGTTGTCGTTTGTAGTAGAAGCAATGACGGTGAAGTTCGAGATTGAGGAATTCAACGAGAGTAATTTCTCACTGTGAAAATTAAAGATAAATGCTATCTTGAGAAAAGATAATTATCTAGCGGCCATCGATGCAAGGCTGGACGATATCGCAAATGATAAAAAGTGGAATAAGATGGACGAAAATGCATTGCTAATCTCTATCTAGCATTAGCAAATGGGGTACTGTCAAGTTAGAGGATAAGAAAATAGCTAAGGAGATCTGTGATACTCTAACAAAGCTATATGAGACCAAATTCCTATACAACAAATTCTTTTTAAAAAGAAGACTTTACACTTTGAGGATGGTGGAATCTACATCGCTTACCGACCACATCAACACCCTAAACACACAATTCTCCCAACTCACAACGTTGGGGCATACAATCAGTGTGAATGAACGTGCAGAGCTTCTACTTCAAAGTCTACCTGATTCGTATGATCAACTCATCATCAATCTAACAAACAACGTCCTTACGGAGTATCTAGTCTTCGAGACATTGTAGAAGTCATTCTGGTGAAAATCGGCGTAAGAACAAAGAAGACAGGCAGACAAGTTTGCAACAAGTGGATGCCTCATCGGTGATGAGATGAAGATAAACGGAACGTGACCCTAATAAGAGTCATACCCATGGTATATCAAAATAAAAAAGTAAGAAGAATATCAAATGCTACAATTGTGACAAAAGGGAACATGAGAAATTGAAGTGTTGGCATAATAAGAAGAGTGGTGATAAAAAGTCTTCAGAGTCATCAACATTTCAAGGATACATTATCAACACATCAGACGATGGTAAAATTTTATATAGTGGAGCAACCACTATTGATAAAGGTAGAAAGAAGTTTGCTGATATATGGCTTCTAGATTCAGTAGCTTCCTTGCACATGACCTCCCGGAGAGAAAGGTTCCACAAATTGAACCTATCTCAGGAGGAGTTGTATTTATGGACAATGATTATGCCTTAAAAATTTTTGGTATTGGTACTGTCAAAATTATAATATTTGATGGTACAATACACACTAAATGTAGGACATGTGAAAGACTTGAAGAAAAATCTATTGTCTTTAAGATAATTGGATGAGCTTGGATGCAAAGCCATATAGAAAATGGGATAATAAAAACTGTTAGAGGGCACTCGTTATGATAAATGGAGAAAGATAGCTATAAATCTATACATATTAAAGAGAGAAACCCTACAGGAAGCCGATTTACGCGTGACATCAACTAGCCATGAAGAAGAACAAACCATAATGTGGCACCGTAAACTAGGCCACATATCAGAACGAGGCCTGAAGATTCTCTCCGACCAGAAGCAACTTCTTGGGCTCAAATCGGTTGCTCTTCCCTTCTACGAGTATTGTGTTACAAGTAGGCAGCATCGGCTAAAGTTTAACACATCGAGTTCTAGAAGCAATGCTATTCTAGAACTGGTTCATTCTGATGTATGCTAAGTACCAATTACATCCATGGAAGGAGCAAAGTACTTTGTCTCCTTTTTTGATGATTACTCCATAAGATGTTGGGCTTACCCTATCAAGAAGAAGATAGATGTGTTCTCAGACTTTAAAGCTTACAAAGAGCGAGTTGAGCTTGAATCTGAAAAGAAGATCAAATACTTGAGGTCTAATAATGGAGGAGAATAACCAGACAGTGAATTTTTCTTACATTCTGTAAGCAAGAAGGCATCAAAACACAATTCAGTACTACATATACTTCTCAACAAAATAGAGTAGCAAAACAGATTTATAGAACTTTGTTGGAAAGAACAAGAGTAATGTTAGTAATTATAAATATAGATAAAGTCTTTTGGATAGAATTAGCAAAAATCACCTGCTATGTAGTGAATCGATCCCATCAACCGTAATTTAGTTAAAAACACCGATGGAGATGTAGACTGAGAAGCCAACTAATTATTCAAACCTCCATATATGTAGAAGTAAAATATACTTAATGTACAATGCCCAAAAAATTACAAAATTGAATTCAAAATCAAAGAAATCTATATTCTTGGGGTATGTTGACAGAGTAAAGAGGTATCGCTTGTAGGATCCCGTTCCCGCAAGGTTATTGTCAGCAAAGATGTTATTTTTGTAGAGAACCAACTAAAATATGAAGAGAAAGAAAGTTGTTCAAGGAAAAACTCAGAAACTATAGTTGTTCAGGTAGAAAATGATCCAAATTCTTCTGAAGCAACACCAGAGCATAATGTATAAGAAGTAATCGAGTCTGAGGCTCTAGAAGTTTGAAGGTCCACTTGTGAGAAATCCATCAACTTGGCACTCGAAGTATATTACGGAGAGTCATATTGCATATTGCCTTCTAACAGAGGATGGAGAGCCATCAACTTTCCATAAAGCTATAAATAGCACAGATGAATCTTTGTGAATGGAAGCAATACAAAAACAAATTGAAGCTTCTCATAAGAATAAGACTTGAGTAATTGTGTCACTACCACAAGGAAGAAAGACTATTGAAAATAAATGGGTCTACAAGATCAAGCAAAATGGAGATGATCAAGTGGAGCGATATCGTACTAGATTGGTAATAAAACGATATGCAAGAAAAAAAGTATTAACTTTAACGAAATATTTTCTCCTGTAGTTCGACTTACAACAGTCTGAATAGTCCCGACTATGAGCACTATATTTGACTTACATCTAGAGTAGCTAGATGTGAAAACAATAATTTTATGGAGATCTTAAAGAAAAAAAATTTTGTGCTCCAACCAGAAAGTTTTAAAGAAAAGGAAAAAGAGAAATTGGTTTGTAGGTTGAACAAATCTCTATACGGTCTAAAGCAGGCGCCGATATGTTGGTACAAGAGATTCATTCATTCATCATGAATCTTGGATACAACAGACTCAATTAAGACCCTTATACATATTTCAAGAAATTTGGTGAAAATAACTTTATTATGTTATTATTGTATGTTGACGACATGTTAGTTGCAAGGCCCTAACAAAGATTGTATCAAAGAATTAAAGGCATAGTTGGTTAGGAAATTTAAAATGAATCTTGCGGCACTTAGAAGAATTAATAGGATGATTTGGCTTTCTTAGAAGAATTAAAAGCAAACATGATTCTAGGAATGTATATTTACTGAGACAGAATTAATAGGATGATTTGGCTTTCTTAGAAAAATTATTTGAAAAAAATCTTGCAGCGCTTCAACATGCAAGATTGTAAGTTAGTTTCAACCCTTCTTCCTATTAATTTTAAGTTATTCTCCACTATGAGTCTCAGTAGTAAAGAAGATAGGATGGAGATATCTTGACTACCGTATGCATTAGTAGTGGAAAGTCTAATATTTGCTATGATTTGTACAATACTAGACATTGCACAAGTAGTGAGAGTGGTTAGTCGATACATGACGAATCCTGGTAAAGAGCATTGGAATGCTGTAAAGAGGGTCCTAAGATACATTAAGGGAACCTTAAATGTTGCATTATGTTATGAGTGATCAGATTTTATTGTCAATAAATATATTGATTTTGATTATGCAGGTGATTGTAATAATAGCAAATCCACCACAAGCTATACGTTTGCACTTGCTGGCAGAGCTGTAAGCTAGCTTTTAAAATTACTGTCAGTTGTGATTACATCAATAATAGAGGTAGAATATGTCGCAGCTATACAAGCTAGTAAAGAGACAATATGGTTGAGAATGATACTGGAGGAACTCGGGCATGAACAAAAAAAAAATTCTATTTTGTGACAGCCAGAG